CTCAGGTCCCTTCTTGGGGGCCTGGCCTCCGGTGACTGAGTGCTGCCTAATAGGCCCTGAGTGTCCCGGAGGGTCTCATCTGGGCCTCCCAGGCCCTGCTGCTCCTGCTCGACTCTGTCCCTGTGTCCTGCCCCAGCTACGCCGGCGCATTGGTCCTGTTGGTTGGTGCCTCTATAGTCCTGTGGCCTGATGGCCAGGGTCTGGGGAGCTTGGATGCCAACAGCATTTGGTCTGGCCTCAAAATCCTCACGTAAACCTTCCCTGTCTCTGACATCCTGTGACCTGGACATGTCACTTCTCCCTGGGCCTCAGTGTCCTCACTTAGAATTGGGGGAAGATGGCACAAGTACTCAGCGAGCATTAGTCCCTGCACAACCTGCCTCCCACATGCCAGGACCCAGCTTGGGAGGCTGACATGAGGAGTCTCAGTATAGGGGGCAGAGTCCCCTACAGGGCACGACTCCACTTCCTAGGGAGTCTGTGCCCTCTGCCCCCGGGGGGTCCAGTTGCTGATTTCCTGTTTCCTCTGGCCCGTCTTCAGGGGATGACTGGACCTCTGGGCAGAGCTCAGGTGGCACCGTGTTGACAGCTCTGTCAGGGACACACTCAGACGCATGTGCAAATTGCCTGGGGACCCAGAGCTGAGGGGGCTGGTGCCATTGGAAGGGGTGGGAGCTGGGGACTAGGGTGATGAGATCGAGGACTTTCCAGCCACTGGACATGAAATGGGTGGCAGCTCCTGGCAGGACGGCCTGGGGACATCTCCCAGCACTCAGGAAGCTGGGAGATGGTGCTACTGGGTGCAGAGATATCTGCTGAAACCTTTAACATGGACGAGTTCCCTGAGAGGCCCAGAGCATGATGGCTCTTCCCCTGTGTGGGGCCAACCAGGGCTGGGGACATGCTTCTTGTGGGTCATCTCTGTCTCTTTACCTCATGGGGAGGTGTGGTCCCCAGTGACTGAAGGCTGGTAAGACTGACCTCCATGCCTCCCAGGCCCAGGCCAGCATTGGCTTGAGGTCTGAACTGTCTGAGCAGCAAAGACAGATGCTGAGCCTGCTGGACCCGGGATGTATAAGTGGGCGGCCCGTTATCAGGGGCGGACGGTTGACTTTCTGTCTGTCACGGAGCCTCCCTCCTCCTACAGCCGAGGGACCGAACTGTTGGAGTTCAGGCTTCAGGATAGGCTCCTGGGTGGGCAGGAGGCAGCAGGAAGCCCTGGGCCTCGGCTCAGGCTGGACTGCCATCTCAACAGGGGTGGGGCAGGTAGAGTGGGAGGGGCGTGGGGCTGGCCCATCTGAAGGCCCAGTCGCAGCATCTTCCCCCATCCCCGGAAATGACCCCACCTTCTCGCCCCTGCTCCACCTCCTTGCCTCCACCACATGTAGGAGCTTCAGGCTGCCCCAGTGGGAGCAGGGGGAGGGGCATTACTGAAAGGGGCAAAGTGACCTTGGTGCCCCCAGGTGTCAGCTTTGCCTACATGCGCCCCCACCCCACATCCCCCCACTGCAGTCTGCAGGGCCTCTGTGTTGCACTGCTTCTCCAAGATGGGCCTAGTTACCAGCCTCGGCAATGGCACCTGCTCCCAACCCCGGTGGGGGCACCCCTTCCAGCTTTCTCTCCTGGAGAACTGCACCCTGGCAGGCAGCCCTCCTGGACGTCAGAGGTGTGCTTTTGGCCCATAAGCCCAGCCGGGGCCACACCCCCTCTCCCTGCCCTTGCATCTGTGGGCTCCACCACCTTGGTGCACACAGCTGCAGGAGAGTTCCACGCAACCCCCAGCCCAACAGGCCCTTGGCTGCTTCCCTGCATCCAGGCAGAGCCCCAGGCCCAGATCTGAGGGACTTCCTGGGTGTGGGTCTTAAGGCTAAGTGGGGTCCCAGCCCCACCCACGAGGAGAGATTTGGCCTGGCATGGAGAACAGCCACCCCTCCTCTCTACCTCCCCAGAACCTTAGGGGTGAAGGACCCTCACTCCCTGCCGCCGGAGTCCAGTGCCCCAAGAGGCCTTTAGTCATGTTCCTATTGGTGACTCACTGTGGCTGAGGCAAGGGTTCTTTCTATTCCTTCTTAATTCTTTTATGGCTTCTATTTTCCCTGGCAGAGGATGCCGGGCCCAAATCCGATCCATGTGTGAGCCGGCTGAGCTCGCCTCTGCGGGAAGTGACGCCCCACAGCTGCCCCCAGGCCTGGGCCTCCCTGTTCGACACACTCAACTGGGGGCAACAGAGCAAATTCCAAGACAGTCTCGAGAAAGATGATTCAGAGGCTCACAGAGGACATTTATGGGTAAGAGTTCGCTTCATCCTACTGCTGCCAGGACCAGCCTGGGAACACGTGGCAGAGTGTGGAACAAGGAGGCCTGACTGGGAGGGGGGGCTCCGAGAGCCCAGGGGGTGGACTTGGTCTCTGAGGGGCAATGGGTGCTGACATCATGCTAGGCGTAGCATGCATGGGACCCATCTGACCTGCACTGTGAGGGCTGGGGAGACAGATGGGGAGCAGTGAGGTGACATTGTGATCAGATGGCCAGGAGGGCAGAGCTGGGGTTTGACCCCAGGCCCAGCTCTTTTTTTTTTTTTTTTAGATTTTTTTTTAATTGGGGAATTGGGGGAAGGGGAACAGACAAATTGCTGTCGTTTTGTTCTTCAGTCTAGTTGTGAAGGACGTTGCTTCACTAGCCCAAGTTGGCACCATCATTGCGCTCTTCCCGGGCGAGGCAGATCAGTCGCCGGCTTCTGGACGGCCGCTCACGGCGGCTGCTGGCCGCTCACGGCGGCTGCTGGCCGCTCACGCTGGCTGCTGGCTACACACGGTAGCCCACGGCAACCCACTGCCACAGGGGCTGCAGCCTACACCGTCGCCGGCGACTCAGGGCAGCCCAGCTCCAGGTTAAGCTGTTGTTCAGCATCTTAGCTGCAGAGGGCAGTGTCACTGGCCCTCATATGTGGGATCCAAACCGGGGCCCTCTGGTGTCCCAAGCCAGTTCTTAACCATCACGCCACTCGGCCGGCCCCAGGCCCAGTTCTTGACACAGTCCCACTGCCTTTTTAGGTACCTACCAGGCTGAGCCACCGAGAAGCGAAGAGGCCTTGACAGGGAGCAATGAGAGGCCTGGCCTTCCTGGGTCCTGTCCCTGGGTCCTGGGGCTGTGGGAGCAAGCAGCCCCCACACTGCTTCCCGATCTGCCTTTCCTCGTTCCCTTTAACAAACCAAGCTCCTCATTTGCCTATGAGTCACCCCAGGTGCTCCTGGAGTTCCCACCTGACTACTTCACTGGGCCAAACCCTCACAGACCTTGGCTCAGGGCTGACCGCGGCTAAACTTGACCCATGGTTTGCTTTTTCTTGCTTCTCATTCCTTCAAGGGGGAATGTTCTGGGAGCTCTGGCCTTAGGCGTGATGCCCATTTGGGGCCAGCCAACATTTGCCCCTCAAGCGGCCTTCTGTGAACACCAAGCACACAGTCATAACCACTATTGCTAGTACCCATACAGACATTACTAACTGATCCTGGGACTCTCTGATCCATCTTCACCCATGCAGACATTACTGATAGATCGATCCTGGGATTCTGTGTGCCCCTGGGCCCACATGGTGGCTGCAGCTACTGTAAACACAATTTTTAAAAACTGGGTTCTGGTAAGAGAATGCCTGTCCATTGGAACCTCAGCTTGTGGGAAAGCAGTGGGTCCCTAGAGGTGAGGCAGTGCTCACTGTGGGGAATAGTAAAGGAACTGTGGGGAGGGGCACCTGACCGCAGACATGTGTGTCTCCTGTTTGGGCAGCGAGTGACTGGCATGTCCACGGTCCATTGCAGCACGTAGCTTTGAGGGTCTGGGGGCACCCATCTTTCTCCCCAGCTGGTCCACATCCTCAGGGGCAGTGTCTGGCCCCCTCTTCCAAACCCCACATCTGCCACATGGAACTGGGCTCGCAGGTGCTGCCCCTAAAACCATCCCTTGATCTGACCTGGCTTCACCCAGGGCTGTACCATCTGCTCAAGAGGCCAGATAAGCCGGCTGCTGCCTCCTACCTCCTTGCCAGGTTCTTAGTCTGGGGTCCAGGCACCCTCCCTCGGTGGCCCGGGAATGGGTGGGAAGGCAAGAAAGCCTTGATCTTGTATGGAAGTTGCTATGTCAATGCTGAGTCCTCCGCACCGCTGACAGCCCATTTCTATCAACTGCACGCACAGTTTAATAATATGAGTCTTCTCCCTCCTCCATCTCTGCCCTGCATGCCAGGTTCCGGGGG